GCAAGCCTGAAACTAGTTGTTCTAATGACTGCACCTCAAAAGGCTTATTATACTTGCCTCTCCCTTCCTGCCATATATTGTATCGTTAGATTGTTAGGCCCTTGAGGCAACTTGCCTTTTTGTGTCATGGCTTCCACTGTGAACTATTAGAAGCATTTTTTAAAAAAATGTGTAAATGATATTCCTTTATGCCAAGATATAAAGAGCTTGCCTAGCCATTCATTAAGTAGAGTGAAGCAACCTGCTTCAGGCTCTTCACTATGATATTATAAACCTGACTTCTGAGTCATTACATTGCCCTGTGTAGCCAAATACTACCACTCCCTACATTGTCTGTTATTGGCCCTTCAAGGTTTGAGGTAGGAGGCTTTTTCCACAGTTGCATTTAGTAGAAATGGGAGAATTATGTAGGATGAGAGGTTCAGGAGGAGGAGAAGGGGAAGCATGTAGGATGGACAAATGACCCAAGGGATGTTGTCAGGACTCCCCATGTGTACATCTAGATATCCAGTCCTTGACACCTTTGATCAACTAACATATGAAACTGATTTTTCTAGTATGTTGCTTTTCAGCATTTCTTTTCAGCAGATATGGAAAGAAGGATACTTTCTAGAGGTGCATTTTGGTGTTTGTAACCTTAGATTAGATTATTCCTAGACCCACTTGCTATTGCTGGATCCTTAGGGATGCTATCTATATTTGTTCAAAAATTAATCTTCCCAGGAATGGGAGAGGTGAAATCATTTTTACAATTTTTTTTGTCTTCATTCTAACAAGGTTTTTTGTGTAATCATGACATCAGTCTAAATGTGAAGTTACCATTAATGTAAGTACAATACACCTCTTTGATTCAAAGTTAATAGAATTAACTATTTTTTTTAGGGTTCCTTTGTTATCTTACCATCTCTGCATATGACCCCTGAAATTTGGAGCAGTACTATTAAACAAGTTTTGTCCTTGAAACCATGAGTGGACTGGTATTTTTAAGACTCCCATCAATGAAAGTTATGGTTCCATTGCTGCTGCTTCTTTCCATTTTCTTTCTTTTTTTAAAAGATTTTATTAAGTTTTATAATAATACAACGAAAGAGTGAGAACAATAAAAATATAGGAAGAGATGGGAAAAAGAGAAATAGGAGAGATATAAGAAACAAGGAAAAGGAAAAAAGAAAAAAGGAGAAAAATAATAAATAATAATGGAAAAATAGAAAAAATACAAAAAATCCAGAAAAAATACATATATATATACCAAAACTTTAAAAATACTACAAAAAATAAAAAAATGTCTTCCATTCCATCTTCTTGGTTAAAGTCTTTCTTCTTTCCATTTTCTGTTCAGAGGCTGGACACATCTCCTGATAAGATGAGCACCACTTCATATCTGAATGCATCCTAGGAGGAGCATTAATTCTGATCATACTTGCAGTCAATCATAAAGCTTTAGAACTGCAAATACAAGGGCGCACAATCCTACTCACCACACTTGCCATAGCAAGTGTGCATAGGCCCTGGCAAGCATGATGACTCCCATCTTTCATCCTGACCTTAGAAATGGGAAACGTTCCCACATTTCCAAATATGCTTCTGGGATGTCCCAAGTGGATCAAATATAACATTCAACATTCAAATATAACATTCAATATAGAAGGCTGTTTTGCTGCAACATCTTCTATATCTGTCAGACATGTTGTTCATATGAAATAATCAGATGAGAACATGCAATTTCTGCTGAACTGCCTTCAATATTCAAAGCACAACTGGAATTTGTGTGGTGATCTTAAGGGAGTTGTAATTCTACTGGGTCTGCACCTTGGTTACATGAAGTATCACTGTTTCCTTTGTGAGTTTGATAGCTGCGCAAGAAATTGCATTACATTGGAAAAGACTAGCCTCCCTGCAATAAATTGGTTCCATAGTGGAAGAATGCCGCACATGACCCACTGGTTGATCCAAAGAAGATATTTCTTCTGCCTTTACATATCAAACTTGGGCCAATGAAATTTTTTGTTAAGGCAATGAGCTAGAAAAGTGAAGTCTTAATTTATTTGCGGCAGGTGTTTCCCCACATAATTGATACAAAGATAAAATAAGGTGTTTTCACTGGTCCACAAATCCAAGTTGTGATGAAGGACATCCACTTTGATGGTCTTCTACAGGGTGCAAAACATGGTGTGTGGGTAGCCTTCAAGTTGTCTAGAAAGTTTGTAACTTTCTGGACAACTATAAAGCACCAGATTGTGTCCAACAGATTGAAAGTCTGCTTGAGGCATACAAATCAATGAAGCGTAACATGTCACTGAAGATATATTTTCCTCATTCCCACTTGGACTTCTTCCCAGACAACCTAGGTACTGTGAGTGATGAACATGGTGAAAGGTTTCATCAGGACATTGTCAAGATGGAGGCAAGTGGAATCTGTCTATGCCTATTGTTAGACTCTCATCCTGGAAGCATCAGACAGTGATTACAAAAGTTTCCTCATGACGTCATTTCTGTCATAGTGTGTGCTGCTATGCTTGTACAGCAATGCTTAGACTGTGGTTTTTAACTTTGAATATGTTTTTAATACTGTTTATATTTAAATGTGTTATAATGTTTGCATATTTTAAATTGCATGCTAATCTTTTAAAATTAACAGGAGTAAATATTATTATTAATATTAATTAATTAATTAATTAATTGCCTTTTCTGGAAAACTGTATGTGATACAGACATAACAAATACATAATTGTGTTCAGTGTGTTAAAATCTGCTTGGTTCACCCAAAATTGTTGAGAAAACAAAACATTCCAAAAAATGTGTTGACCAGTGTAATCTCACAGATAACATGATGGCAAGAGAGCTCTAAAAGTGAACATAATTTTGCCAGGTTTTGCAGTGGGGATGCGCCTAGTAGTCTAGTGCTTTGGAAAATTTTAAAATGCAGTACATCTTCAGAAGCAATTACAAACCCTCATCTCCAATTGAAAGTTGTACGTATTTGGTTGATTTATTCTTGTCTTGTTGAATAAAACTGTGGAATAATTTTATAGTATGAAAATGGGTATAATCTCCCACTCTTTCAAACCTGAATTGGCAGTAGGACTTCATACTGAATTTCTGAGGTGCTGACTCCAACTACCACACATTTTCGAATGGTCACAAAAAATATATACAGTTGGTGTGCAAAATTGTTCTCACAATAATAGTAGCAAATTATGACTTCGACTAGCTCTACACATCCTACTAGCCATGCCAACTTACTTACCTGGAGAGGTGCACTGTCATGCTGTGAACTAGTATAATCTGAAAATCAAGCTGGCTGGCATTTCTATAGGCTTTTACCACTGAGATTATATTTAAGAGTCTGTGTTAGCTAATCAAGTGAAGCTAGTTGGTAACTTCTTTATGGGGAATATGATGCTCATAAATAAATCTTGCAAATTCTTTTTGAAACGCCTTGACTCATATACCTTCATACAAGAAAAAATCAGCAGGTTTTCACTGTAATTCATATTGCTTCCATCCAAAACAAAAACAAGAAAGAATAAATTTATTTGGTTTTGAAGAGATAGTCACTAAAATTTGATCTTTAAAATAAAAATGTCTGGGGATGGATTTTAGGATACGGTAAGAAGGAAAATATAATCGACCAGGCATTATTCAATAAGAAATAAGAATTAACAATAAATTATAATGTGTTTGTTTTTAGTTTGTTTTTTTCCTCAGTTAATTTTTAGTATAACACAGCTCAAAAATATATTTGTGGCTTGTTCCTGGGTTATTTGGGACACTGATTCAAAAAATTGCATTGGATAGACCTCATTAGCTCTAGTTCCTTATATATGGTTATCATGATTGTTTATGGGTGAACTGATTCAGACTGGTCTATGTAATCTGTATCTCAAAAACTAGAGCTGATAGGGGAAAATTTGTGCTATTGCTGGAATCAGCAAGTCAGATATACCCAGAAGGAGGTCTAATTTTTGAAGCAACAAAAATGAGTGTTGCCTCAGAAATACTCACACTGTCAACTATTGGCTTCTCATGACAGCTATGACACCAACAGAGCACAGTCATAGCAATAAAAGCTCTTGACCAGCACCAGCTTGAGTGGCCAGTGCAGCTTCATCCCTAGAGGTAGCGGCTAGAATCTTGTTGGGCAGTTACAAAGCCATAAGATAGAGTTAATATAATCATGACTGTTTCATATTCATGGTGTCTATGCATCTGTTGTTTGGTAGACACAGAGAGGCCATGAAAGTTCCCCAATCCTCTTTTGCCAGGCAGCAGCCCATGCAAACCACAGGGCTCTATTTCCCTGTTGTTTGGGAAGCAGAATCTCTCAGAATCTGCAGCGTGAAGTTACACTGTGGTGGGGATCCTGCTTCTGCACATTGCACCAGATATGACTCACAGGAGATGGTGAGAATCCCCCAGAGCAGTGTGCAAAAAAAAAAGTAAAACCACTGAAATGTTAATCAAAAACATAAAAAACGCCATCACTTTCTGAAACAGCATAGCAGATTAATGATATTAGAGACCCAGAGAAATCAGATGCTTATTGTCTGGAGCCAAAATAAAAATAAACTGGGCATCAGAAAAATCTCTCCTAGGGGAGAATCCTACAACTTGTGAACCTTCATTGAGGTGGTCTTTTCTCTGCTAGGTATGCTACCCCCTATCCACAGCCATTACTAAATCCAATGGAACCCTTTAAGACAACTTTTAAAATATAGAATATGAAACATGTGGAATCATATGTGCAGATCTGCATCAGATGGAGCCTCCCAAATGTCTCAAATGATTCTGTCCTTTGTCATTGATCCCAACTACAAGTTATGGAGGGCATGAAAGCTTCAATTATCACACTAAATTGTGCCTGGAAACAGACTGGAAGTGAGATATTATATAGTTGTTATAACATAGGCATAATACCAATAAATCCCAATTAAATAATCAAGCAACTTCATTCTGTTCTAACTGCATCTGATAAAGCAGTCTTCAAAGGCAGTCTCATACAGAAGTAATTTACATTACATAGTATATTATATTCTGAAATACATGAAAATGTTTCACTAAGGACGCATCTACACTGTTGAATGAATGCGGTTTGAAACCACTTAAACCACCATGGTTCAATGCTATGACAACCTGGGAGTGGTATTTTGGTGAGGAGCCAGCACTCTTTGGCAACGAAGGCTAAAGATTTTGTAAAACTTTATTCTCTTTATTCCATAGTATTGAGCATGGCAGTTAAAATGTCAAATTGCATTCAACAGTGTAAATGCACTCTGAGACATGAAGAATGCAGTTTGAAAGTGTTAGCAAAAACATTAAAAAAGAGGGAAAAATGATTCCACACCGAGTGCCCAAGCTATTTTCTATTTTAGGTCTTTCAAAAAGGGCAGAAAATCATTCCTGAAATCCTGCCTAGGTCGATTCAGAGTTTGCTTTTGTTTCTCCTTTCTATTGCAGTCCACAAAGCTTGTAGAATCAGTTCTCTGTTGTTCAGGATGTTATAGTCACATAAGCTTAGCAGTTTGTTGAATTCATCCTCTGTGTATGTCAAATCTGTCATTTTATATGGTGACATTGAACTGTCCAAATCCACCTCCCCTTCAGTCTTTTCTGCAGATTTCCGCTTAATTCCTGCACAAAAGAAGATTTAAAAGGTTAGTGATTATTCAAACAAGGTTAATATTTATATTCAAATAGATGGATGCCTAAACTCATATGACCTGATATGATCTACAATGTAGTATGGAGCAGAGCATTCTCCAACAGAGAACTGATTCTACAAGCTTTGTGGAGTGCAATAGAAAAGAGAGAGAAAAGCAAACTCTGAATCAACCTAGGCAGGACTTCAGGAATGATTTTCTGCCCTTTTTGAAAGACCTAAAACAAAAATTCTGTCTGCAAACATTCTTACTCTTTATTTATTTTATTTTTGCTCCTTTCCACAGAGCTAACCAGTCCCACCCCTTTTGGTACTAATATTTGAGAGTGGTCCCTGATCAAGTGGTCGCTGGTCAAAGTGGGCCCTGGTCAAAAGAAGGTTGGGAACCATTGCTCTAAGGTATTTCTGATCATGGATAAAAAAATTCAACAGTTCTTTCTCCTATCGAGGAAGCTCTTTCAGGAAAAGCATGAGAACATCAAGAACTCCTTACAAAAAATCAGGAACATGACAGACAAGGTATATCTCAAGCTCTTGCATGGTGCAGGAAAGTATCCATTCTGGGGAGGCAATGCAATGAATGCCCTATTCTTTGAGGATATTGTTTCATGCCATAGATAACACTGGAAATCTTTGATGTGGTTTACTCTGATAACAAATTTGATATATTCTGACATAAAAGATAAATACTTACCTGGCCTTTTGTACTCCTTGAAAGATCTATTCACCAATGGAAAGTGGAGTATGATTGGAGATTCTGGGTTCTCCTTATCCTCAAAAAGGTAACATTCCTTTGGGTTGCTCCTTTCTTCTTCTGTCAGCACAATCTTTGGAAAGGGTATCTCCTGGTCAAAGCAGTATTTGCTCATTTTTTCTATAGACTGAAGCAAACAAGAACAGTGACATCTAAAAACAAATCTCAGGCTATGTTTTTTCTACTAGTTTCCATCTGGTACATCAAAAATTAGAAGTGTTAATCACCAAAAAAGATTAGCAGAATTTTAACATGGTGAGAGCATCTGAACTGGGACATGTTGTTATTGTGCTCCTTCAAGTAATTTCCCAGGTTGTGGGAAATGAGGACAAACCTATCAGTGGTTTATCGGTTGTCCTGAGGCTGAAAAAGTATGATTTTTTTCAAAGTCACTGGCTTTGCCAAATATGCAGTGACTTCTTTCATTTGAATGAGAACCCTGCATCTTTGGATAATTGCATTTGAACATGAGCACTGCATCTTCAGAACAAGCAATATTGCTTGTCCTCCATAATTAAAGAGAATGTTTGATGTCAGCAAAAAAAATTACTCAATAAACACAGCAGCTCTTTGATCCATAGTGCAATTTTCTTGTCAGTTATTAAACAGAAATGAAAAGTGGCAGCAATATAGATATAAAAGAAGATACTACTGTCCACAGAGCACAAGCTTTTTAAATCATGATTTCCAGAATCCCACTGTTTTGGATACCAATTTATGTTCTGATATGTGTACACATTCTAACCTATGCAAAACAGGTCCAGTCTTTACTCAGATCCAATCTGCATTGCAAATAATTTTTAGTATTGGCATAGTACAAGTTTTAAAAAGTAAACTTTTTAATGTATACAGCAATTTCCATTAACTGTTGGGTTGATGGCTCTAGAAAATTGAACTGTCTCAGATTTTGTTGTTTCCATTTCCCAACTCCATTTGTTGATTCAGTGAGTGTTAGATAATTGTGTTCATTTGACCTGTCTTTACACAGACACTTTTCTAAATTAAATCACACATATACAAAATAAAAAACAATTAACATTGGCGTGGATGACAGGAATAATGGCCACACATGTGCCTGATTACACCTGGGTATAATTTGGCCAAAATGAAAATAAGCCGACATGCCATTTCACTTGTCACCATCCAGGAAAAAGTAACCACTAAATTATTTGTTATTAGTTTCCCTGTGATTGCAGTTGTATATGTGTTTATACATTTAAGCCAACCCCACCTGGTCTGTATCTTCAGCTGGAATCATCAAATGCCACACAGAACTGACTTTATAATTAGAGAAAACAAATTGACTTTTCCCCAGAGCATATTTAATGTTTAATTTAACCATTTTGGATTTGTGTAAGAAACAGTCAATTTGTTACATCTTTATGGTTATTGTCTTACCTTAAGCTTGGTCTCCATTAAGTGATAGTCAAGTGATATGATAACATCCACATTCCTTTCCTTTCTTAACAGTGGTGGGAAACTGGTATTAATGAAATATCCAGCATCAACAAGACACAGCTCTTTTTCCAGTGGTGTAAGATAGTTGGGGTGCTGGTCCAGAAGACTATCTGCAAGGAAAATATTTTTGTCGTTTTTAAAGGTCATAGGACATACCCATCTAATACACAGAAAGAAATGCTACAGAACCAATGCTCCATTTTAGACTGTTTTTGAAAAACTGTTTCCTGGTTGTTGTTTGTTTGTTTGTTCAGCCCCTTCCGACTCTTTGTGACCTCATGGGCCAGCCCACGCCAGAGCTCCCTGTTGGCCGTTACCACCCCCAGCTCTTTCAGAGTCAAGCCAGTCACTTCAAGGATACCATCCATCCATCTTGCCTTTGGTCGGCCCCTCTTCCTTTTTCCTTCCATTTTCTCCAGCATCACTGTCTTCACTAGGCTTTCCTGTCTTCTTGTGATGTGGCCAAAGTACTTCATCTTTGCCTCTAATATCCTTTCCTCCAATGAGCAGTCGGGATTTATTTCCTGGAGAATGGACTGGTTGGATCTTCTCGCAGTTCAAGGCACTTTCAGAATTTTCCTCCAACATCACAGTTCAAAAGCATCTATCTTCCTTTGCTCAGTCTTCCTTATGGTCCAGCTCTCACATCCATAGGTGACTACGGGGAATACCATTGCTTTAATTATGTGGATCTTCATTGCCAGTGTGATGCCTCTACCCTTCACTATTTTATTGAGATTAGTCATTGCTCTTCTCCCAAGAAGTAAAAGTCTTCTGATTTCCTGGCTGCAGTCTGTGTCTGCAGTAATTTTTGCACCCAGAAATACAAAGTCTGTCATTGCCTCCATATTTTCTCTCTCTATTTGCCAGTTATCAATCAGTCTGGTTGCCAGAATCTTGGTTTTTTATGTTTAACTGCAACCCAGCTTTTGCACTTTCTTCTTTCATCTTGATTAGAAGGCTCCCCAGCTCTTCCTCACTTTTGGCCATCAAAGTAGTATCATCTGCATATTTATTTATTTATTTATTTACGGTATTTATATGCCGCCCTTCTCACCCTGAAGGGGACTCAGAGCAGCTTATAATATATATTTTCATTCAATACGTTATATTATTAGCATAGTACAATATCAGTATTATATATATATATATATATATATATATATATATATATATATATTGCACTACACCATTATATTGTAATATTATTAGTAATATTACATGTAATGTAAATATATAATTATAATATCGTATTATTATTACTAGTATTATACTGTATTACATTATAATATTATAAATATTATATGTATATACAATATACTATATTATATTATTAGTAAAGACAAGATGGAAATGTCTTTACTCCCCTCTGTCTTCGCTCTGGCCAGAGCAGCAGTTGGTGCCAGAGGGGAGAGGGGCCTCCCAACTGATGATATAGGCAGAAGACAAGATATCTAAAAATATTTAAAGGCATATCTAAAGTTGTTAATGTTTCTTCCAGCAATTTTAACCCCAGCCTTGCATTCGTCAAGCTCCGCACATCACATGATGTGTTCTGCATACAAGTTGAATAGGTTGGGTGAGAGTATACAGTATATTCCTGGTTAGTTTCAACCTTAATTAAAAACAATAGCTGGGAGTCAGTGCATAGTTACAGATATGTAACTAATCCTTATTCACAAACAGTATATAGTTTGGCACCATTGCCAAGGTTGTGAATACCTTTCTAAACCTATTTACCAGACAGCTGACAGACCAGGTAAAGGAAAAAAAATTAACTTGCGATCAAAGCACAAGAAGAATGACATTTCCACCTTCCTCTCACCAGCCGATGAGGCAAGGATGAGCAGAACCAGGGCCCTTCTTACAAGTACTTGTTGCAGCATGGCAAACAAGTTTGAAGTACAGGAAACATTCTCCTTGTTCCTTAATTTCCCTTTTGTCTAGTCCCGTGGCTGCTTAGTAAAGTAAGTTTGGTGGTGGTGGTAAAAATGCTACTTACCATACATACTCTTGTATAGTCACCATATATACTCTCATGTATAAGTCAACCTGCCTTGACCTGTGGATCCAGGTTTTTTGAGAAAATCTTTAGCCTTCGACATGAGGATATAGGGTTGTTACACACATGGAACTAAGTAGTCAACAATTTTAATGAGACTGTCAAAAACCTAAAGACCAAACACCATGATAATAGTATTAATAGAAACTGCTGCAGAAAGATCAAGATTTTGGTAAGGCTTTTATTGTTAGAAGAGTGCATGGAATTTTAAAATGTTATTTTTTTATTTTGCCTTTTCTCCTATTAATGCAGGGATACACATATTACTCTCCTTCTCTCTTGATCCTCACAATGACAACCATATGAGGAATGCTGGATTGAAACAGGCTGAGTTTAGCAGCTTGATAAGGACTTCAACCTAGTTCTCTCTAATTTCAGTCCAGCACTCTAGCCACTACACACACTGACAATTTAATTTCTGGTTTATTTACCTTGCCACATAGAAAATGATTTGTTTTGGTAATAGTCTTTGTGCAGTTGGAGACCTCTCAAAAAGTTAGGTTTCTGTTCACCTATTGGCCGACGGGTCAGAACTCCATTAATGATGCTGGGCGTATCATAAAATGCATGATATTCAGAGACCTGAGTTGTAGAAGTGCTGCCTCTGCCTAGGAGACAGCAAATAGCACATTAAACTTCCTTGATTATAATGACAGGACATTATAAACATGCACCAGTGATGCATCAATCAAGATGGCATTATTTATTGATATATCCTTAACAGTAAAATATAACTATATATTTTAAAGAACAACTTTGAAAATTTGAAATATGGTACAATCAAACAAAAAAGCATACTTAGAGGATGAAATCATTAACAATGGTGTAATGAAAAGGAACCACTATCAGACTTTTTTACCTTCTTGCAGAAGCAGTACCTATTGATCTACTCACATTTGCATTTTTGGCAGAATCTAGGCCTAACAGCAGGAGCTCACTCTGCTTCCCGGATTCAAACCGCCAGTGTTTTGGTCAGGAAGTTCAGCAGCTCAGTGGTTTAACCCGCTGCGCTACCACAGGGCCAATAAACTGCTAAAGGTACTAATAAATTGGTTACAATAGAAATTAGGATATCTGTGCATCATAAGGACCTAAGCTAACCATGCATCCAACTTTCTTTATATTCTCTCAATAGATTTTATATTTTTCAGTTATTCTTTGTGCACATATACAGACACACTTCTTATAGGTTGCTGCCAAATTGTTTAAATAAACAAGGAAGTATATAGAAGTATGAATTAGCTTGTTCTTTCTTCAAGAAGTAGAGACAAAACATCTGGATATTTGTAAAAAATGGCTTCATAGACAAGAAATAGATAGTACAGTATCTGTTGAAAAAATGTATACTAAAATGAAACAATTTGTGTAAGATTCTTACTGTTATCCTTTTCTTGACCTGAGAAAGGCCACTTCCATAATTGGTATAAATTCCATACATCTACCAAGTTCAGGGAAAATATATTGCTCCAAATTCCTGTAAATACAATATATGAAAAATGGAGGTGTTCTTTTAATTCTTAACCTTTAATCATCATACATCTAATTAAGGCAATATAGAACAGTTTTTTCCCAACACTCTGATATTTAAATCTTGCATTGTTGAAGGCTTTCATGGCCGGAATCAATGGGTTGTTGTAGGTTTTTCGGGCTGTGTGGCCATGTTCTAGAAGCATTGTTTCCTTACGTTTCACCTGCATCTGTGGCAACTATCCTCAGAGGTTGTGAGGTCTGTCGGAACAGTTTCTCAGGATGCTTGCCACAGATGCAGGTGAAACTTCAGGAGAGAATGCTTCTAGAACATGGCCATACAGCCCAAAAAACTTACAACAACCCACTAAATGGGCATGATTTTCCCTTGGTAGTTCTTTAACTGCCAGTACTCACCCAATTGTTATTATGTATATAAATGAGGAATAACCTGTCCTTAAAATGTAAGGAAACATAATAGCAAACCAAGTGAATAGAAAGTTCTTAACCTGATACTTTTGAACATAAGACATCACCTTTATAAAAAGATCAATAAACTTACTTTCTTTTCCTATAGGAAAAAAGAATTTCTGGCTAGGAGAATTTGCTGCAGTGACATCTTTTATGTATTATTACAGCCTCTGACGATGCCTGCCATAGATGCATGTGAAACGTCAGAAGAGAATGCTTCTAGAACATGGCCACACAGTGCGAAAAACCTACAACAACCTCTTGTAATTCTTATGTATTTGCATTTTACTATTATAGACAGCTTAGCCCCAGCATCAGAACTCATGATGATGATGATGATGATGATGATTTGTATCCCATCCCTTCTCTCAAAAGGGACTGGGGCAGCTTACAACAAAAATACAATATACATAGTAATTATAGCAACCTAAACAACACAGATCAACAATGCTATTGCATTTAATCTGATCTTTTTTCTGACTGAAAGCTAGTTCTTCTTTTGTCAAAATTAAATTACCTTCCAAATAGCAAATCCTAGATTCTGGTTTCTTCTTCATCAATCGCCCCATGTAGAACTCACTTCCAAAATCCTCTGAGCGAATGAAAGCCCCATATTTAGAAAATCCCACCTCGTAGGGGGAAAATTCACACCATTCTAGGAAAAGTATAAGAAAGTTAGAGGAGCACAGGTCAAAAGGAGAAAGACCGAATTACATGTTCATATTGAAATAATTGAATGTTTGTATTTTATTTCATGCTCATTGTAGCTCAGTTGTTACAAATTTCAATTCAAATCATAATAAATAAAGAACATATTGTTTTGTTAAAAGCAGTATCAAGACATAGCTAACACTCATTTAGGTAGTTCTAAACTTCTGGTGATTTCTTTTAAAACCACTTGGCAACATGTTTAGGATTGCTGGATTCTCATTTTTTTAAAATTGAGTTATTATTTCTGAGTTTATTACCTTTAAATTCAGAAGTGGTTTGGGCATCTTCCTTGACATTAAGGGCCACATAAAGGGGTAGTGGGTTTTGCCCTTGATTCACAGCCTGTTGCTGATCAGAGAGTTTGCTATTACTCTGCAAATCCAAAAGAAATAATATAATGAAACACAACAGCACATTCAGATGTAAAAACAATTGCAGCATTTAATGTTTCCAAAACCCACCTTTAGATATGAAAAGTCAAGGATAACTGGGAAAATAGACAAAGAAGTTAAGTTTAAAGAAAGACAGTAAGTTCTTGGTGGCTGTGCATACCTCATCATGGAACATACGATCAATTATGAGTGACCACATATCAGTAAAAGAAACCGAGTATCCTTCTTGACTCCTCCGTCTCAGCTCCTGATCATAGAACTGTAGCGCTTCCAAGGAGAAAACGTTTGACTTGTTCCTAACAATGTGCTCTTGTGCTTTGTGGATTGGGCCAGTCAGATCTTTTTGAGACCAATCATTGTCTTCATACAAACTCCTCATTGTCCTGTGGGGGAAATCATATCTTTAGAAGAACACCACACTGTAGCTGAAATTGTAGAGTTCTAGAAAAATGTATTAGTCAGATTATATTTCCTTGCAGTTAGGTTCAAAACTGACACTACATTAAACATACACTGGCACAGATCTGATTTGTTGCTTTTAGAATAGTAGCCACAGGGATCCATTCAAATTCAGGACTCAGGACTATAAAATGAGATGGTCTGTTCACATTGCTATCCAGAAAAAAAGTTGTTCTATCCTTGATGTTGCTATATCCCAGAATATCAAGGTAGAAAATCCCACAATATCTGTTTTGAACTGGGTTATCTGAGTCCACACTGACATATATTTCAGTTCAAAGCAGAAAATGTGGGATTTTATTCAGCTTTAGGAAGGGAAATGAACTGCAAATGAGAAAAAAAAATAAGTTTTGCAAAGCATTTCCTTTGTGCCTTTAGTTCCACTTATTAGGCCCCTCTGTAGCAACCAATACTTTTTCAGGTGTGTGTGTGTATGTGTAAGAGAGAAATAAGTTAGAGGTGGGGGAGCAGGTGGAGAAACAGGTAAAATATGGTTATTTGTGTAGTTTATATATTTATATGGCTGCTAGGAAACATCCCCGAGTTTCCTAGCAATCATTTAAATCAGATAATTCTTTTTTAACAAACATTTTAAACTTACTATTTTAAGGTGAAATTAGCCACAATAGCAACAGCCATATATTTTATTTCTTTATCTACTCCCTCATCAGAATCTATAAGAGACAGGATCCAGTTGATACATCAGTCTGTTAACTGAATGTTTCCTTTTCTTACAAGGCAACAACATTTTGCAAAATGTCCTACTCATGCATGGTTTTGCGTCATTACAACTAAAAGACTACACCTTCCACTTGCCAAATAAACACAATACACAAAATATTTCAATTGCAAAGTGCTTTAAAATATATATTTCAGTTGTGTTCGACCAGTGCCTCAGGCCCCTTCCACACAGCTAAATAAAATCCCACATTACCTGCTTTGAATTGGGATATATGACAATGTAGACTCACATAATCCAGTTCAAATTAGATATTGTGGGATTTCCTGCCTTGATATTCTGGATTATACGACTGTGTGGAAGGACCTTTAGAGCTGTGAAAATATGACTGTTCAGGGGATGCTTAGCTTTGAACCTCTGGACTCCAGAAGTTATATTTTAAAAGGGCGTGATGTATGAAGATTGGAGGTATGGATTAGAAGGAGACATGTCCTTGCATGTGTGGTAAAGTCAATAATATGCTTTGAGCTTTGTTCAAAAATGATTTGTGCAATAAAAAAAGGGGGCTGGCAGGCATGCTCCCATCTCAGGCAAGATGGGTTTTCTACAGAAGAAGCTGTTTTAGGAGACACGTGTGATAATGCCCTCTGTGTATGTATGTCAATGTGTATATAAATTCACATTTTAAAACTATTTGTAATCAAACGGATTACAAGAGTTCAATGCTGTGTCAATAGATGTGTTATTCTAATGGTACTTCACTTTACCATGTTGACCCAGAGGCTCCGCAGAGATACGTAATGCAGTCTAAGAGGTTTAACTTCTGCAGGGCAGACAGATGGCCATAAAATGCTGACATGGCCCTGGCTCCTCCTCCTGTTGCCATCACGGCGATCACTGGGACCTGGACAAGAAGAAAATGGATGTATGCCCAAACCTATATTCTCTTGTATTAGGCTGCAACTATCTCAGGTTGCTTCAGAATTTTTTTCTGAATCCAGATTATCTGTTTTGAACCAGAGTATATGGCAGTGTAGACTCATATAATCCAGTTCAAAGCAGATAATCTGGATTCAGAAACTGGATTATATGGCAGTGTAAATCCAGTCTGAGATCCACCCTCTCAACAGTTTTTATGATACCTCCTTATCTATTGCTTGTTTCCCTTCAGCAATATTTTTAATTTCCTTTATTGGGTGTTTCTCTCAGTAATGCAACTTATTTCTTGTACTTAAACTCATTCTGAAATGAATTGCTTCAGGTCCAGTTGCAGACAATTGCACTAATGTGAGTAGTTCTGCATTTCCTGTTCCCAAGCTCTTTCCACAAAGCCACAGCCACACTTTCAGTCAGAAAAGGATGCCCACAAACCTCATGACTTTGCAGCTTCTGTTCCAGGAGCTTTTCTAGTGCCCTGGCCACATGCTTCTTCCTCTTACACAGGAAATCTTGCTCAGCCTTGCAGAGATCGCATGCCAAACGTACATCCAAATCTCCTGGGCTGGAAAAAGAAGGAAGGAAGGAAGGAAGGAAGGAAGGAAGGAAGGAAGGAAGGAAGGAAGGAAGGAAGGAAGGAAGGACGGAAGGAAGGAAGGAAGGAAGGAAGGAAGGAAGGAAGGAAGGAAGGAAGGAAGGAAGGGAGGAAGGAAAAAAGATTGATCCACCTGCATACTGTGCCTCATATGGGCACACTATTCAAGTCACAGGATGTCAGGGGTGTTTTGATTGTGCAGTACTGGCATGTCAGAATGAGCTTGGACTAGATGGTCCCGTCCACGTCTATAACCTTATGATTCCAAACCATAGTCTCAAAAAGAGATAAAAGAAAATCTACAATTCTACACTTAAGGGCACATCTACACTTGCATTATAATACAGCTTGGAACCAGTTTGGGAGGAACTAATTTTGCTGAGCAGCTGATTAAATTGACATGTCTGAGACTAGTCTGAGGCCAGGAAGGTTATTACATTAACCATGTAACCTGGCCTCAAACTGTTCTGTGGTGGTTGTTGTCATTTTCATTTCAGGGAGTGATGCTTCGCACCAGTGCTCCAGAGGAATAGACGTTGGGGGGAAGAAGGAGGAGGACAGTTATGAGCAGATGTCATTAGCTACCCCTCCCAGGGAGTCAATTAGCCCATCTGGTAGCCAACCAGATCAAAATAGAAATGTTAAGATGAACAGATATATTTCTTACCAGTCATTAACTCTGAGCTGCAACTTCAATTCTGCATTCTGAAAATGAAAAAAAAAACTTAAGCTAAGCTATATTAAAGTGCAAAATAAACAACCTCATGATAGCAATACATCTGGAACTATTTTAAAATAATAAACCAAATGTGATATGTACAATCCTCATATCCACAGGGGATACATTCCTGTGCTTCAGGTAGATATGCAAAATCATGGACCCTATGGAAATTAAGGACTTGTGGTCCAGAAACAACATAGAGTCATGCCAGAGATCCTGGAATATGCCTAGAAATAACATATTTTGTTGGATGTGGATCAATTAAATCACAGATACTGGTCCTGATTATAAAGCAGTCATGCTGGAGGCAGTGGGGAGGGGGGTGTCTCTTCATACCGCTATTCAAAATCTAAAAAACTAGTCCATTGGATCACAGACCTACTGGATACCATTTGTAATTATTATAAAGGTGTTGTATATGAGGGACAAAGAAGAGGCATGATAGCAGGGAAGATTTCAACAAATCTAAAACAAATAGGTACGTAATTTGCAGGGAGAGCAGCACTCTTGAAGTTATAACGTTTATCTTTAAAAAACTGTTATGCAGTTAATGTTATTTACACACCAATAAGTGATTCCTTTCTTCTAATATAAATGAATTTGTTTGAAAAAATATAAAAGTATAAGAACAATTACCTCTGTAATTGATAACGCTACTTTTGTTTCCTCTTCCAAAGGCAAAGTTTTCAGCAACACGTGTGAATGAGCAGGAGTATCTCCAAACAGTTTTTCCTCAAAGAAATTGGTCTGAAATAATAATAATAATAATAATAATAATAATAATAATAATAATAATAATGGAAGTGTTTGATTTTGTAATATGAAATCCAGAATATATATCTCATTTGCTGTGTCATACTGTGTTTTTGTGTCAGGATGATGATGATGATGATGATGATGACGACGACGACTCAGAATGCCTCCCAAAGTAAAAAAAATGGCAAACGTTTAATGCCAGAATGGATTGTGGAAGTTTAATGCAAAAAATGCAGCTGACATATAAAAAGGGGGTGAAGCCAGTACACAATCTTATTACTAGGTGAAAAAATTCTTAATTTCCAGTATTGCATACACATTTGACAATCCAAATCTTACATATCTGTTGTCCTAACTGTCAGCCCAATAGCTCTTTCTTGTATCTATGCAACACCATAGGAAAAGATAACATCTTAATATAAGATGGCAATTATGTGCTATCATATTTTGATGTTATCTTTTCTCTGGGGTGGTGAATCCATGCTAGACTTTCACTCAGACTTCAGAGGAATGGTGCTGGATTACCTGTAAATGCCGAGAGATAACATTTTTTGATCATGTGTATTAGAGGCAGCAACAAATGTAGCCAGCCACGAATAATCAAATCTGTGAATACTTAATTCACAAACATAGGACTTCATCACAAAGGCCAATGGCAAATCCATGGGTTTCCAGCAAGGGGGGAGATATTCATGGAGAAGCCATCACTCCACACCCTGCATTGTGCAACTTGCCTTACGTCTTATCCCATTGTGTTTTGTTATTGTGTTTTGGTTTTACTTTATTGTATTATGCTGTTGGGTTTGGCCTCATATAAGCCGCCCCAAGTCCCCATTGGGGAGATGGTGGCGGGGTATTAAATTAAAATTATTATTATGATTATTATGATTATTATGATTATCGGGCTTCCTCGCATTACTGTTAAAGCAACACAGGAGGGCTCCCAGGTTCCTGACATGTCGGCATGTGCCACTTCATCTCCTCTTTCAGCATGGAGCCTGGCCAGAAGTCCCTGTGCATCAACTAATGGGTTCCGTGCTGAAAACGGAGAGTAAGCAGTGTGCGATGAGCAAATCAACTCATTTGATGAGGTAGCAATGGTGGAAATTGGCAATTTAATCCAGACTCTGTTATGCACTGATGAAATCTGTGATCTATAATTAAGGTATTACCTTCAATTTGGCTTCCAGTATTGGCTCCCCGTTCTTTATATAGTGGAACTGGAAGACTTCTGAATCCCGATTGATTTTCTGTGCTTCTTCAAATGATTCATTCAACACAAGTTCAATATTGTTATGTTCTAGACAGAAAGGATTACATTTTATCAATTGTCCAGATCCATGGAATCTTAAGCACAATAAATCCTCCTTTATTTCATAGAGGATTGAAATTGTCAAAGTTCAGTTACAGAACTGAAAGACAGACCTGTGGAATCAAAATGCCCTATCTTTTAAAATGCTGGTATTTTTAAATCTCCTAAATGTCTAAAATAACTGATGAAGGAGCCATTTTTAGATGGAGAAGTAGTAGGCATGGGCAGTGCTGAATCTTCTGCTTCTACCATTTTATTTGCACCCTCAGTCCTTTTCTCTTCCATGAGGTATTGAGACTATCAACGAATGGTGAAGTGAGATTATGAAGGAGAAAACAGTGAATTGAGAAGGAATCGGCACCTCTTCTCTTTCACTGTTCCTTTGTTTGACATTTTCTTATTTACAATATTTCACCATACATTTTACCATGCATTTTGCTACCCAGACATATTTTTAGATGGTGGCAAAGTGTAGGTGAAGTTTCCAAGAGGCTATGCTGATTTTTGGGCAAGAAAGAGCAAAGGAACTGGGAAAAATCTGCTGGGGAGCCCTCCTTGCAATCCCGCCATTGCCTCAAATGCAGTTGGTGGGGACAAGGGAGAGGGCCTTCTCGGTGGTCGCCCCCTGATTTTATAATGCTCTCCCCAGGGAGATTAGGCAGACACCCACACTGTCCTCCTTCCATAGGGATTTGAAGACTGGTATATTTAAACAAGCCTTTGGCAATGTCTAGCCGTAAGGCTGAGAAAGGCGGGCTACAAATGTTGTAAATAAATACATAAATAAACAATACCCCCAATGGTCTTCAATTAATGACACGGCACTGCACTTTTATCCCATGCCCTTGTTCCCTAGCTACAATTTGCACTATCCCATTTCCTTGTCTTGTTCACAGTTTGGCCATGTCTTACAGCAGTTGTCGCCACAGGTTATTGGGCATTGTTCTGAGCTTTAAATTGTTGTTTTATGTGCTATTGGTTTTACTTTTTTGTGTTGTACCGTGTGTTTATTTTATACAAGGTATTTAGGTACGTTGTGCCATATGTAAGCCACCCCAAGCACACGTGGCAACATACGTGAAACTGTAGAAACTAAGCCTGCTCCTCACATCAGTAATCTTCATAGTTTCACACACTGGAGTTTTTCATGTGATCAAAGGTTACAGGCAAAGTAACAGATACCCAGGTGAATGTAAACACTCCTATTAGACACACTGAGGCAGTTTGCCTCAGGTGGAACTAAAAAAGAATCAAATGGTAAAATATCTAATTTAACTAATATGCATGCAGATAGACATACAGGTAGGCACACATTACCACTATATGAAACACAAGCTGGATTGTCTACTTCAGGGGCATAAAGAGCTTAGAGTAACTCTTTAATAAGTTGGAAGTGCCAGAACAACATGGTGATGGCAATGGGTAAAACACTTACCCATGTAAGCATTCCTTGTGTGTTATTTTCTCATATATAATTTTGTAAGTGGTATGTATAAATTGCTGATACATCCTCATCCCATATGATTAATCTGGCAGAAAGGTATTCACCCATGAGGAGCTCTATCCATGTGCAGGCTTTCATAACAGCGCCTTGGGCAGAAATCACCCTGAATTGTTAACCTGATATGTGAATTCTGTGCTTTCTACTTGAGATTTCTCTGTAATATATTCCTAACTGTGACTTCTTTGGCTAGACTATGTGTTTAGCTAATGCAGAGTCACTGCCAAGCCAAAATAATGTCAAATTCAGACTGTCTGAAGGAATTTTCCATGATATTGTTTTGTCTCTCTGTATATAGAGAAATGGTTTTTGGGCTATTGCATTACACAGCCACAAGTTTTCACCACAATGGAAATTTGGAAGCAACGTGTAACATAATATGACTCTAGGCAAGGAAGGTTTTCATTTATATTTTGAATATTTTGTGAAACTTGGGTGCCTATTTAATGAACTCTGCATCTCACCTTTCAAACATGTCTCATTCTTCCCTTTGTCCATTTGAATCTCCAGAAAGGCAACCTCACGAGCCTGTAAAAGAAACAAAATGAAGTTAAAGGGGAATGTATAGCCAATCTAGCTAATAATAATAATAATAATAATAATAATAATAATAATAAGAAGAAGAAGAAGAAGAAGAAGAAGAAGAATTGTAGAATAACCATTTCTATTGTTCCTAATCACTGGACGTGTTGGCCTGGGTTAACTAGATTTAACCTATCTAAGTAGCCCAGGTTGCTACTCCTGCTTCATGAGAACTGTATGTAGTCTGAAATGTTCATTTTCTCTATTCCGCCCTTATTGGAATTTAAGTGTCAAGGATCTATAAAATGAATCCAACCTGACATTGCTTACAATCCATTTTGTTCACTAAAAACTATTTCTTTTTGGCTAATGTAGTTTCCTGCCAGGTAAGTTATAAATAAAGTTCCTGGAACAGAGGTAATGTGACTGTTCTGCTTGGGAGCATCCCATAGATATACAGTTGAGCCATGTGGGAACAGAATGCTGGAATACCTACATCTTTGGTTTGATCCCACTTTATTATTCTTATGCTTTAAAGAAGTGGTCAATGTCAGTTCATTCCAACATCAAGGCTCCTTTTCTTAAAAATTAAAAGAATCTACATAGGCCCCATATACACTGACCATTTAATGCAGTTTCAAACCAGTATTTAAGAAAGTGGTTTCACTGTGCAAATTTATTTATTTATTTATTACTATATTTATATCCTGCCTTTCTTGACCCTGAAGAGGGGCTCAAGGCAGCTTCAACAATTCAATGCCTTAACAACAATCTACAATTAAAATAAACATTTAAATTTAATTGAGATCAAAATTGAAATACATTAAAATGCTTTAAAAACATAACAGTCACCATAAAACCATGCTATTCACAAACATAATCCA